ATTGATGCCCACTAATTAGCGATCACCAACTAGTGGAAATAATTTCACCCCATTGACTCCACCAAACCCCCTCATAATTTTAGACTTCCATCAGTTCACCACTCAACACTGCTCCAGCAGAACATCCCAGTTCTCTGTTCATAGGACAAATAACTCATCCCTGGAATCATCCTTGTAAATATCCTCATATCGCCATGACCGCTTTCCTAAATTGGGGTGACCAATACTGTATGTAGTATTTTAACTGCGGTCTAAAGATTTATACAAGTTCAGCATTACCTCTGCTTTTATATTAGCTGTAACTGTTGCAACTTTGCTTGCAACCAGTTTCATTTAATCAGTCTTCTCTCTTTCACCTGGCACTTTTATTTGTCCTTGAAAGGCTTGATCTTCGCTTCTTAAGATTAAGAAAATGTGCTATTGAACTTGTTAGCATATGTGCACACATTCTCTGTTGGGAGGACACCCTGTTGGGAGTCCATACATGTGTGGTGAGCTTGTTTAGGTCACGATAGGAGATCACCGAAAAAATATGCCCATGACATCCCCCATACCAGACGTTCCCAATTGGTTAGACAGAAATGTTGCCTTTATTAGAATAGAAGGTGCATCTCTCTGGAAGGCCATGTGACTGCCAGCGCTGCCTTGTTGCAGAATACCAAGCACACCTTTTGAGGCTTAATTAAAGCATTTTATAAACGTAGCTCATCAACGATAGGAGTTCCCAAAAACATATGCCCACGATGCTCACCCCCACCCCGCAAGAGCTTTCCGATTAGGTATAAATCATGTCTCTACATCAATCGGTTATTGCATGCTTGGCGGACACACAAACAGACATTTTGTCTTTATTAGTATAGATTTATAAAACCTAGGATTTAATTAGCTATTTTGATAGCCTTCCCACCTTTAAGGATTTATGTACATTAATCCCCAAGGCCCTTTGCTCTTCCACTCCTTTTCATATTTTTTAAAAAAACCACCCAACATATACTCGCTCCCCTATTCTTCCTCTCAAGGCAATGTCACATTTATCCACAATAAATTGTTTGCCATTTCTCTGCCCAATCACCTAATCTGTCTACATCTCCCTGAAGTTACTTACAATCTTCTTCGTAGTTAGTTACACTCCTTATTTTTGTGTCATCTACAAACTAACAAGGAAGCAGAGGGGCCCCTAGTAAGAAAAAGAGAAAGCATAAGTCATTGATGAATTTGACGATAGCTACATCTATGCTATTGCAGGACAAAAGCCAAACTGGAGGGGCCTAAGCAGACAGTAGAGAGAAAAGTGGGAGCTAAGTTGAGTGCCACCAACATGATTCTAGATTGAAGTTAGGTGGAGATGGGCCAGAAGTCGCAAACCAGACTTCCCAGACGCAGGAATGTGCATTGATGTCAGGCTCGCCTGCAGTCTCTCTTCTCTCAGCACATAGAGATGAATAAAGGCCAGTTGTACAAGTTCAGAAGGCAACCAACACCCACTGAACCTCAACTCCATTCTTTAAAAAAATAAATCAAGGCCCATAGGAGCCGGCGAAAACTGGGGAGAAAACCAGAAAAAAAATGTCAAAGCAAAGACATTTCCACCCAGCATTCAAAAGCACTCAAGTCAGCATGGTGATCTTTATAACATAAGAACACATGGATTACTACATACTAAAAATGCTGCTATCTCATGTAACAAAATTCAAGATTATAGTTGTACCATCTTTCAAATATTGTACCCCATCATTTGACACAGCATGCCAATTAGACACCATATGGGAGACAAGCTTCCATTTCAATATTTTCAATACCACTTTGTCTTCTCTAGAAAATGGAGACTCAATGCTCTATACAGCTACAAAAACACTGCACTAGCAGCTCTTTCCAGTACTTAGGTTTAAATAGCCATTCTTCACAAGTAAGACAGGACAACAATTTTACCAAAGAACACAGCTACATTTGTATTCCTTGTAATGCATACAAATATTTTCCAGTGGAGAGTGATGTGATTGAACAGCATTCAAAACTACTCTCTCCCCCCCCCCGCATATGCTTGAACCCCAGTAACTCAGAAAAGCTAAATTTCCCAATTCTCTCACATATTTCCCCACTTATTTGGATTGATTTAAAGTAGACCATTCATAAGTGTCAGCCTGGCTCTCATCTCAAAGTCAGAGGTTGTGGGCTCAAGCCCCACATCAAGGCTTTGAACATGGTCAAGACTGACAATAGTGGAGGCACGATGCATTGTTGGAGGTCCTGTACTTCTGATTATATATTAAACCGAGGTCCCTGTTCAGATCCCATGCAGTATTTGAAAAGAGAAGGGAATCTGTCTCAACATCCTGGTCAACAATTCACCAAATAAAAAAAATTGGTTAATCATTTTATGGTTGCTTGCGAACCATTGCTATGTGCAAATTGGCTGCCTCACTAGTCTACAAAATACACAAGGTACTACACTTCACAGCAAAATCATGAGAAGCATTTTTAATGACACTATATGAAATGCAAGGAAAATTATTATAACTTAACTACTGTTTGCCATCAGCACAATTTAATACTATTATTATTAAACATTCAGTAAGTTTACTCAACTTTGGTGGAAAACAGTCCTATCTTGTCTTCAAACATGGAGGAGGCAGCACAAATGCAGAGGCTGCAGCCACAGTTATATCAGCCCGATTGATCGCTTGAGCATTCTTGAACCATCCAGTCCAATAAATCACCAATTTCATCCAGTAATCCTTCACTGGAAATATACTTACAAATGCGACCAATCTGAAACATCACATGCTTTAAAAATGCCTTTACAACATCATTTATTGAAGCCTTTTTGATGTTGTGCAATGAATGATAGCTAGCTTTCTGACCACAACATGAACAATGCTCCATTTTAACTGCAATAGGCAGATCTCATCCCTGCTTCTACATCAGAAGATACTGACTAGTGTGTTCCACTTCTATTTAACTTGCACTTCAAATGCTGACACTTCTTGGCTATCCTCTCCATTAAAATACTTGGAACATAATGCATTCCTCTTCATTTCCCCATCACAACATATCACAGGCCAAGTTATGTTAGGGCTAGTCCATGTTCATTGATGGATCTAATGATAGATACTGTGCATTAACAGCAGTAAATCTGAATTCGTTTAGAGGTTTAGATGGTAAAGATGATATTGTGAACACTGTATCCAATACGAAAGAAGGAGATAAAATTGAATGAATGCTCACGCTGGTGCTTACTGCAAGCTACTCCTTAGTCTATGCTGCTGCCCTCTTCACGTTTTGTTACTGGAGGCACCAGCGCGGGGGTGAGGGGACAAAGCCCGTTGCCTACAGCATGCAAAACATGAATGGACCTAATCTCTTTAGAGTAAAGCGCACGCTGTAACAGCCCGCCCAACTGCAGACACCATTTTGTTTGGAAAAAGCAAGCCAGCACTATGAGGGGGGGTGGGGAGAGGGGGGGGGGGGCACAGGATAACGCATTTTGTATATACAAGCAACACACGAAATTCACACGACCAGTCACCGTCTTAAACGGTAAAATACAAGTCAAGTTATTCATGTATTACCATAACCTATAACACTTCCCAAGATTAATCGATAAATCGCTAATACGCGAGGCTCTGCACGCTTTGCGGAACATGAAAGTACACCTCATTAACGACTCCGCGCTCAGCCATCGGAAACACGAAGCGCTGTGATCTTAATTCATTTCTTTGATGTTTTAAAACTCGTTGATACCACATTCCCGTTCTGGGGGGACATTGTCTCAAGGTGGCAGAATGCACTGTGGCATTGCAACCATGAAAGATGTTTTGATCGTCGTATGTACCGCCTTACAAGGACAAACATCACTATAAATCAATAAAATCCTTTGCCATTTGATGCACAACACAAATTAAAATAAAATTAAGACGTACAGGGCGTTATCATTTATACCACAAATTTGTTTTCACATGTGAAAAAAACATATCCTTTACAATAATGACTTTTGGAAGAGTGGAAAATTCTCCAATTAAAAACATACAGACATATTTCTCGAAATATCGGTCTTAGATGAAGATATTGGAAATTTGGGATTTACAGCCTTCACTGAACTCTATTAGACTCATCGACGAAGAGGATGCCGACATGATCTCAGAAAGCTAAGACCACGCGAAAAACAAACATGATCGATACAAATAAAAAGCAGTTGCGAAGGCAACTCGAAGAGTTCATAAATTACCTCGTTTTAGTTAATTATACACATGGATTCTCACTACAACCCGACGGAAAATCGGGTCAGTATTTGCCAATGAGTCCGTGTAATAGAACAAATAAAGAAACAATTTCCCAAACCCTTTCCAGGAGATAACAACGGAAAATTAAGATGAGACTGGAAACTTTCTAAACATGTGCACTTTTGCATCTCGTTGAGTGAAGAAGCCGCAAGTTGAAAATGATCGTCAAATAAAGCACACGAACGGTAGGAAATGCCCGAAACGGCACTCGTCTTCACGAATGTCGGAGGGCGACAATTAAAACTGCAGCTTAACAAACGAAGCATAACATTTTATGTGAAAAAAAAAGCCTCGAACAAGTTGCATCGCGTCGTGCGACTGACGTTTACGAATTTAGTTCTCGATCCACTTCGTACATCCCAAACCAGAACTAATGAAGACCATACACTTATTTAAAAAAAGGGCCTTTCGGTCAGAATTAAAGAGGATAAGAAACGTATTAAAAGGTGAAATACTAAACGACAAACGTAACGGGGAGAGAGAGAGAGACTTCAAAACGGTCGAAATTCTACTGGAGCAAAGTAATGAGCAATTTTACATTTAATTGTCAAATTACCGTTCCTGCGGAGGAGGGAAGGGGAGTGGGGGAAAAAAAAGCGTAATCCGCGCACAACCCCCATTCCACGCGCGGATGGAAGTCACCTCTTAACGGATCCGCAGCAGTCGGTTACAAGACGGGTTAGAGAGGACCCAGGAAAGGGCAGTAAAAGAGGGGCTCACTTCGTTCTCGTGCTGCTGGCAGTAGCTGACCCGCTCGTGGGGCAGCGTCAGGCCGGGGAAGGGCTGCTGGTTGTAGTGTTGCTGCCTGAAGCGGTGGATGACATGCTCCTTGGTCAGGCGGACCCGCTGGTGCGCCCTCACGCAGTGGTCGCACAGGTACTCGGCGCAGTCCATGCAGCGGGAGGTCACGGGCGCTCCCTCGTCGCAGGAGCTGCAGCCCGACTGCGAGCCCTTGCCCCGGCCGCCCCGGCCGCTCACCCCGCCGCCGCCTCCACCGCCGCCGCCGTCCAGCTCCTCGTCCGCCCCCGACACCACATCCAGCAGGTTGTTGAGCAGCAGCAGCTCGGCCGGCAGGGCCTCACTGTCGCCCGCCGGGGAGGCGGCCGGAACCCGGCGCTCGCAGATGGGGCAGCCGAGGTCCGAGGGACCCGGCGAGGCCTCGGGGGAAGCGCCGGCCCGGCTCCGGTTACCGCCGCCGCCGATACGGCGCCGGCCGTGCGAGTCCAAGCAAGGCTGGCACAGCGAGTGCCTGCAGGGCAGCAGCCGCACCTCGTCAGCCTGGAGAGCCGGGCTGGCCCGGGACCGCGACCCCGAGACGGCAGCCGGCGGCCCGCGGGCGCAGCACAGGCCGCACGACAGCGTCTCCTGCTGCCGGCTGGGAGGCCGGGCCGGCGGCGGCTGCTGGTGCTGCTCCTGCCTGGGCTTGGACTGCGGCGGCGCCTTCTGCTGCTGCTCCTGGCCGCAGAAAGCGGCGGCCATGGCGGGGTGAGGGCGCTGGTAACAGCGGGGGTAGAGGCGCCCCTGGGCCAGCTCGGGCCTGGGCAGCCGCTGATTAGCTTCCTCGGCGAGTAACGCTCCCCTGGGCAGCGACCGGGAAATCCACATGGACGGGCCGAGGGGGGCTCATATTCCCCCGGGGCTGGCGGGGGAGCGGCGGTGGGTGGGTGGGTGGGTGAGGCGGTGACTGAGGTTGGGTCTGTGAGGCGGCGGCTCGTTGCTCAGTTTCGGGCGGGCGGGCGGTTGTCGGTTGGCGCCTCAGGCGCGGGCGGGCGGGCGGGCGGTTGACGGTTGGGCGGGGTGCAGGCCCCTCGCGCGCGCGCTCGCTCGCTCTCCCTCTGTGTCTGTGTGTCCAGCTCAGCGCGCATGCGCTCTCTACCCTCCGCCTCCTCGCGCCGCTTTCCCCGGTCCCCGGCCGCCGACTATGTACGCACGCGCGTGCGTGCGTGCGCACGCTCACGCGTCACCGTGCGTCAGGTAGCCGACGGAGGGCGTGGCCTCTCATTCATCTCCCGAGCGAAGGGCTTCATTCATTCCATTCGTTTACACTTTCATTCATACTGTTTTGCCCGTACACCAGAGGGAGCAATGGCCATAATACAGCAGCAACAAAAATAATATCAGTCCCCGAGCATTGGTACAGCAAGCGCCCTCATCAAATAATAATAATAATAATACTCCTTGCATTTAATATAGCACTCTATCACAATGCCGAGACACCTCAAAGCGCTTCTCACAGGATTTACTATAAAGTGAATTGATGGTGTATTTTGTTGGCGAACACAAAGCTCCTGTTAACCCGAACGGGTGGGGTGGTCCAAGCTGGACAGCAGTGGGAAATCTTGTCAGGCAGCGCTCTCAATGGCAAGCTATGCAATTTTAGCTGGTTAGACTCCAGCAGTTTCCCCCAACGCACACTCTGGGGTCCCCAGGCCTTGGCTCTTGGCAAACTATGCACACCCACGCACGTCCAAAGATGAAGGCCCTTTAACACATTGGATTTCATCTATTCAGAATGGAAACCCTTCCTATTGCTGCAATTCCAAATATGTCCAGCACACCCTCTATGTAAATAATAATCCTTGCATTTGATAAAGTGCCTTAAAGTGGAGTCCTGTAGCTCAGTGGTTAGAGCACTCGCTTTGCAAGCGAGGCAACTGAGTTCAATTCCAGGCAGAGAGGGCGAAACCTTGAGCAAGTTTCCTTACTCCACACACCTAAGAATAATCCCTCCAAAACAATAATAAATTGGTCATTTTCAATCCACGACTGTTTTTGGGACATTGCTGTGCGCAATTGGCTGCTGCATTTCGCCCACAAATATATGGTCAATTCACTTTACAGTGAAGCGCTTTGAGATGTTGAGAAGAGGTGAAAAGCGCTATATCAAATGCAAGGATTATTATATTATTATTATTCCAAGTTGGGAGGAGTGCCTTGGGGTGTCCTCCTGATGTGACAGGCACGATACAAATGTAATTTTGTATTGTGTCTCTAAGTGCCTCACATGATGTATTGTGAAGTGAATGTGTATTTTGTAGGTGAATACCTCAGTCAATTTGCTCACAGCAATATCCTACGAACAGCCATGAAGTGAATAACTAATTTTATCTGGGCAATTGTTGGCCAGGATACTGGGAGAATCTTTCCTTATTCCATTTGCCTACTTAGTAGTAAGTAGGAACCTGATTGTTAGTCGATTGGCAAGTTGCTTTTTGGGGTTAATAATCTCTCCCAAAAAAATGTGGTCACTCAATCCGCAACTGTTTGTAGGACACCTTGGTGGGCAATCAGCTGCCTCATTTCACCCACAAAATACAGTCAATTCACTTTACAATATATTCTGAAGCATTTTGAGATGCATCAACAATGTGATAGGGCGCTGTATCAAATGCAAGGATTATTATTACCATTATTAAAATTCCTCCCCAAAGATGTTGCCCTCTCCTGCCCCCCCACCCCATGCTCGGAAATCCAGTCGGTAGAAATAAAAAAGACAAAAGCTCAGAAAGAGGTTGGTTGACAGATGGTTTTGATTTAATTGGTTTCCGCAGATAATGGTGATTGTATGAAATGAGCTGCCCAGGGAGGTGGCAGAGGCACATTGTCAGCCAATTCAAAAGATAGCAGTAAACTTGCACTTTTGTTGTACCATACCTGAGTAACACTGGCGTGTCTCTTTCACTTCCAATTGAGAAGTATAAATATTATTGAGTGGGATTAGTAATGCTAGAGGAAGGGTTGCAAAACCTCTTCTTTGGAAGTGATTTATTCAAGAACGGGGGTGGTGAGACTTTAATTACAAATCACTTAATACAACAGGGACACTCAGTCTGGTACACATCCCAGGAACAGAAGGTCTGACTGAAACACTCAGGAAGCTTGTGGTCAGAAAAATCCAACATTCATCCACAGCAATTTGTTACAACTATTATTTGACTTTGGAAATTTAACAAGAAAAGACTGCAACAGGCAATTATTTCGAAACCAGACAAGGGTCATATATATAAAATGTTAGATGTTGCATACCAAGCTGGTTTGATCAGAGAATAAAACTCATCTCTTCAGCATCTATTTTTAACTTGTTCTGGAGTATTTGCAACCCCTTGGCATCAGATCAAAGCGCAGAAGAGAAGCTTTCCCTGATGGTTCAGTGAGTTCACCCAACACGCAGCTGAACCATGTGAATTGGGAAGAGCAGGAAAGTGGGACTAATAAAAAATAAATGGGACTTTGGAAAACAGGCAACATTGGCAAAAGCACCTTTAGGTGAATGACTGAAAATGTGTATGTAGGTGCGTACATATTGAAGCGTATGTGTTGTGTATGTATTGATTTTTGATTAAAGTTTAGAAACCAGTTGTCGAGAATATGTTTCTGAACAATTTTGTCTTGTGGCACTGAAATCAGGATGAAATCAACATACTTCTCTTGGTTCACTGAGATCAATTGCAATCTCCCACAACCATTATTCAGAGTCTTGTAGAGTATTGGTTAGAGCACTCGCCTCGCAAGCGAGAGGACCCGGGTTCGATTCCGAGGCAGGGCGAAACCTTAGAAATGTTTCCTAACTCCACACGCCTCTGTTTTCCCAGCAGTAAGTAGGAACCAGTTGTTATTCAAAATTGAGAGGAGTAATGCTATTGATCATTCATTATTGAGATTAGGCAATTTAACATGGATCCTCCTGTTCTTCATCAATAACAACAATAAATTACATTCAAAAAGCCTCTTTCACATAGCTTGTTGCTACATCAGGGAGTTCCAACGCTGGGTTGACGTGGCAAAGACTTGTTAACAAATCTACCCAATGATATCTGATCACACCACAATATTATACTGGCAAGCAAAGCTTTATACTCGTATCACATTGTGGGCTGACCCCAGAACAGTCGCAGCCTACGGGTCATGCTCCAGCTGTTATGTGATACCTTAGAAAGATAGGGAGGAAGAGTTGATAAAGTTCGAATGCATCTTGGAATCGGGATGAAAAAAACTGTCTCAAAGGAAATGTTTTAGATGTCACTCTGGCCACCATTTTGTATGTTTACTCCCACTTCGGAGAGTGCAACAGGAAGTTCCTCCACTTCCAGCTGGAAACCAGATGTTAACAATGCAGGGTCCTAACCCCTGACCTGACCCTTGCCTATGTCTTTACAAATAGCGATAGCCACCCACCTGCATCTCTAGGGGGTTCCAGTGCATACTCCTGTTTATAGGAATAATCTTTGGTTTTGATATAGCACCTTATCACATTGAAAGTCTCAAAGTGCTTCACAGTAGTTACTGTGAAGTGTAGTGACTGTGTATCTGTAATAAAATACAGCAGTCAATTTGTGCACAGCAATGTCCCACAAACATTAATGAGGTGAATAACTAATTTAATTGGAGGATTGTTTGTCAGGACACTGGGAGAAACTCACTTCTTGCTTTGAATAGTGTAATTGTTTATTTAATTTATCAGTTATCAGGAGAGGCTATAGAAGCCGGGATTATTTTCCTTGGAGCAGAGAAGGTTAAGAGGAGATTTAATAGAAGTTTTCAAAATTATGAGGGGATTCAATAAGGTGAACAAGGAGAAACTATTCCCACTGGCGGGTGGGTCGGTAACCCGAGGACACCGATTTAGAATAGTTGTTAAAAGAAAGAGGGGAGGGGAGGAGAAATGTTTTTCTCACAGAGAGTTGTTGGGATCTGGAATGCATTGCCTGAAAGGTGGGGGAAGCCGATTCGAAAACAACGTTTAAGAGCGTAGATAATTATTTGGAGAGAACAAGTTTGCAGGGCTATGGGGAGAGAGCGGAGGAGTGGGATTAATTTGGATAGTTTTTTCAAAGAGCCGGCACAGACATGATTGGCTGAATGGCCTCCTTCTGTGCTGTATAATTCTATGATTCTATGACAATGTCTACCATGAAAAAACAGAATCTTGGTTTAAAGTCTCAGCTGAAGGACAGCACCTCCAATAATGCAGCGCTCCCAACCATGGACTGGAATGTCAGCCTGGACCACAAGCTTATATTTCCCAAATACAGGATTTGAATCAATGTTTTTCTGATTCAGAGGTGATAGTATTTGGGCAATTGAGACATGTATTCTCCAAAGGGCTGTCTTCGATGCTACGACTGCATTAAGAACACTAGTGTTGTCATCCATTTAATCATTACTCTTTACAGTGTAATCCTGTGAAGCACGGATATTCTCTTAAAGGATGCTTTTCCAAATGTAAGGTTATTAACAAGAAGATTACATTTGTATAGCCTCTTTCACGCCGGGAGGATGTCCCAAGGCTCTGATTATGTCTAAATTAATGCAGATTATGAATCCCAAATCATGAGAATAAAGTTCTATTCAACCCCACCAACAGTGAGTAAATAAAGTGTGATTTGGTACACAGACCAGAACAATCCCAGGTTGAATCCCCAGTTTTTGATGAGTTAGCTAACCTCAGCCAGAGGGTTAAAAATCAGCCAAGGTTTCCACTCCCAATTCCTTTCTAGTGACTTACTGGAAGATGGATATGTAAACATTGGATGAGGACAAGCTGTGGGATCTCTCTCATCACCCTGTCCAGGATAGTCACAAAGCCTGTTAACATTCATTATCCATGCTCACATATAAGTGCACTTGGGTGTGATATTTGGAACGTAATAATTTGGAGGCCATTTGATCCATTGAGCCTGTTCTGCCACACACCATTCCATGACTCATGTATTCCTCCAATCCTACCTCCCTGCTCTATCACTTAATTCTTTCAATCCCCAAGTATCTCTCTCTTAATCACCTATAACTTTCCAGGGTTGTACATTCCATCTCCCGTCTGCATATTCAGGTGGATGTCAAAGATCCCACGGTACTATTCAAAAAGGAGAGAGTTTCTCTCTTCCAGTGTCCTGGCCAACAATTCCCCAAATAAAATTGGTCACGCGTTTCATGGCTGTTGTGGGACACTGCCGTGCATAATTATGCTACCACATGTGCTTACAAATACAATCACTCCATTTCACAGTAAATCCTTGTGTTGCGCTTTGAGATGTCCTCCTGACATAAGGTGCTGAAGCACATACATGGATTATTATTACTCTCTGTGAGAAGAATTTCTGCCTGGCTGTTGCACCCCATGTAAGTCACTTCCTCCAGGAGAGGAAAAAAGTGAAGAATTCATTCAATATCCATTACATTTTGTGCAAATTTAAAAAAAGTTTGATTTCTTTTTATTTAATAAAACAATCTTAAATACAATCAATGCATCGATGATGTGATAAAGTCAACGGAACAGACTGCAGGTGCTTGGGGCATGATCTCTGACCCACCCAGCGACCCCTGACCCGTGTGAGCCGTTTACATCTTCGCAGGCGACGGATTAAGACTGTGTCAGAAACTGAGTCCTTGGGTTCAATGCACTTTGCCTGTCCTCCACCTGGTTCTGTTCTCGCATATGAAGCATGCAGATGACGCACAGCAACGAGACTTGTGGCTTTTCCATTACTCCGGTTTTTGTCCTGATGCTAATTTAACAGGTACCAATCCAGCCCTGGTTTATTATTTTTGGAGGCAAGAAAGGGGGTGGGGAAGGGGAACGGGACCTGGGTCAAAACAAGTCTCATGCTGGGAGCAAGGATGCCAAAGCACAGAGAATGATGGCAAGTCACTCTGGGCTGCTTTGTAAATCTCACAGAAGCTATTGAACAGACCAACAAGAGCCCTAACCTCTTAAAACTAGGAAGAGATACAGATTTTTTTGGGGGGGCTTTAATGACATAAGGGGAAATGATTTAGAGAGGATTTACCGTCACCTCCTCTGTTCTTCTCCTGGGTATTGTTTCATGGGAACTGGTCATCGTCGGTGTTGCCCAAGTGGCCACTAGTGCCATAACCCTTGGCAGTGAGTGTCAACACAGTTTTGGACTGTGTGGTTGATTGAGTCCCAATCCTGTCCTCATCCAACATCCACACGTTATAGGTCCATTGTTGTTGGAAGGGAGGGGTGGGGGGGGGTGGAGGAAGAGGAGGTGCAAATTCCTGGATTTTGATCAGGGGAGTGGGAACTCCTTTTATCCTGCCGAACCTATGACACTGAGGTGAATTCCAGCACATAAGGCTGCGTGGCTGAGATTATCACTGGCCAGGAATGGAACCTGACTGTGTAGACTGGAGCTGCACTGTGCTGTTAGACAACTGGGCCATCTTAACAGAAAGACAACCATGGCACAGCACTGACAGCGCTCGGAACATGTCTATCGTTCAGTCACTGATAAAAAAAGAGGGTGTGCCGGCAAAACACAGAACCAAACTTACAACACAGAACAAAAAAAAAGCTCCCTCTACAGCTTTGCATCTGGCACTCCCAGTTCAGCTACAGCACAAGTACAAAAACTAAAATAGGTCGTACTGGGGAAGGGATTATGCAGATACAGTTGAATCCACATCATTTTCTCAAACATCTGATCTCTTGACATCAAAATACCCAGCTGTTTCCTTCCATTTGGCATGAGCAGAGTGACAGGAGCATTGCATGCAGACATGACAATCACTTATCACAACCAGCTCTGACTCAAGGCAAAGCTCAACTGATAGGAAATGATTATTGGGAAAAACAAGCACGCACTGAGGGACATGTTTTCCCCGGCACAAATGGGAGTAACGATGGTGGCAGGTGGGGGGGGCCTGGGAATCTGAATGGGCGGCAGCTGATTGTGTGTATTTGGGGTGGGGGGATTCCAGCGCGGCTCCAGCTACTGCCTCTTCATCTGTCGTCGTTCTTGCCGTCTCGGTTTCTTTTCAGACATTTCCTGATTGTTGGGAGCCTCAGCTGTAAACCAAGGGCCCAAGATATTCACCCATAGGAGGTATAGAGCCCTGCCTGGAGCCTGAAACACAGATCACAGTCACCTTCAGCGTCACATCTAGACAATCATATTGGTAATAGTTGTGGAAACGGCCACAAAGTTCCTCTGATGGTCCTGTGGATGAAGTCACACCAGTGGGTATGAGTAGTAACTCACACCAAACAGTTTCTATGTCAAAGAAATGTCAAAGTTTCTATTTCAGTGGGTTCATTGGCTTCAGTACCAACTGTGAGGGGGAAAATCAACTCTGATTCCCACTCTGAGCACTGCTGAGAAACGTCACTGATGGAATACGTGTGTTGATGTTGGGATAACAGAATTGGTATAACTACTGACACCGACTGCCCGGGCTCCTTTAGTACATAACATAAGAATTTGCTAGACGAAAGAAGATCAAGGTCCATCTAGTTTACCTTCCACCATCCTGGCAGACAATGTTGTGTCCCAAACTATATACTGTATCCCAAGATATTATTTTCTAGCAGAAATTATCTAATTTGTTCTTGAAACAAACATTTTCTGCTTCCATTGTCTGTCTCCATAGGGAGCCTATTCCATGTTTACTACTCGCTCAGTGAAGTCACTCAGATGAAGAAGCAGAAGTTGGCTGGTTCCCATTTACAATTTTAGCTGCTGAGGCTCTGGAGTGCTGTTTCTACTCCGGAAAGTGTATATTTCATCTCTTACTTGTCCTAACTCTGGTTAAGTAATTAATGCAGGATTTGTTTCACAACTGACCAGGCCATAGACATAGACACAGACAAGACGCAGTTATTTATCCTGCTGTCGGCTCCTCAGTTCCACACAAGATAACTTTTGCATTCAACATGTAACTGAAAGCATTTACCCGGTCCTGTCTGGTGCTGCCCAACATGGTAACCAGGGACATAGATTCAAAATAATTGGCAAAAGAACCGGAGGGGAGATGAGAATTTTTAAAACATTTTTTTTACAGATTTGTTACGATCTGGAATGCACGGCCTGAAACGGTGTTGGAAACTGATTCAATAACAACTTTCAAAATGAAATTGGATAGTTACTTGAAAAGGAAAAACTGGCAAGGATATGGGGAAAGAGCGGGGGAGTGGGACTGATGGGGTAGCTCTTCCAAAAAGTCGGCACAGGCACAGTGGGCTGAATGGCCTCCTTCTGTGCTGTAATATTTTATGATTCTATGGTGGGTGCTGTGTGAACTTACCAGGAGCCACAAATACCAGAAGTACATGGATGTACAACTGAGAACCTGGAGGATGGCAGTGAGTAATATCACATCTTTTAAATGCCTGAAAAGCAAAGAGTCAGCATCAAACACGGTTTACATCCATATACAACAGCGTCTGCCACTCGGCACCTGGAGCCCTTCACAGATCATTGTTCAAGTAGGAACAGGACTCCACTGTCGTTCTCTCAATGGTTCACTGAGTCAATGTACCACCTGATGTGGCATGCGCTCAACATATTTGCCCTTTAATAGGTTTCTACAAATGGGTTCAGTATCCATGGGCTGGGGGGACAAGGAATAAAATCATCCAAGGTTCCTGTTCCAGAGATTCAAAATTCCTCCTTAGCCTAAACTTTAAGGTTGTGAAAACATTGCAACGGTCTTAAATTTGGTTGTCATTTGGAAGCCAGTTTTCTGCAGATGGTGAAGAGAACCGGTTTTCAAATTAATATAGCGTTTACAAATTTTACTAAATTTATATGACATTGGTCTAACAGACCAATAGGTATATAAATGATAGGTATTTCTGACCTCCAATACCTACCCAGACCCAAAAAAAATAGTTTGGTGACTCAATCCACGATTGTTTGAGGGACATATCTGTGCGCAATTGGCTACCGCATTTCGCCCACAAAATATACAGCCAATTCACTTTACAGTATATTCTGTGAAGTACTTTGAGACGTCTCAACGATGTGATAAGGCGCTATATCAAATGCATTATTCCTGCTGGAGTATTCACACAGGAACAGGATCAGACCTGGCTTTGAATCTCGCTGCAATACTCACTGCTAGTGCTTGTGTAAATTACCTGAGTTCCTATGTGGCTGAATCACATTAGGGTTAGCATCCTTCTGAAGGGGAAGGGGGGAACAGCATCACATTACTGCTGACAATTATTTTCTAGGTCCATTCTAAGTAATGGTGGAATTTAACCAGTTGGTTGAGGATTAGCTGTGAAATATCACCCACCACCCACATTTCTCTTGGGACCCACAATGTAGTTAAGTAATGGGCAGAAGAGTTCAGAAAGCGCATGGACTCCAGGAACACACTCACTCTGCCATTCCTTGTTCCATGTTCAGGTCTATTCCTCCATCGACAAGGGCACCGTCCTCGGAGAAGGCAGGCTGTGCCATTCCCTGCATCCAGCGGTAACTCAAGCTGTAGACGATGAGTGCAAATACCAGCAGCCCCTGCACAGTGAGACACAAACACACACCAGCTCTTACCATTAGCTAACATGAGCATGTGTAAACATTCAACTTTGTTTTGTTCATTTTCTGCTCATCAAGGTGAGACACATCAGCACAAGAGAATGGAATACATTCCACTTGGAAGTGACAGCGTTGAACTCTAAAAGTGAGCTACAGCATGGATTAGGCATAGAATAAAGATCCCTCTACACTATCCCATCCAGCAATGCCAGGTCAGCTACATCACAAGTTAGATACCGAGCGAAGTTCCCCCTACACCATCCTATCCAGTGCCCCCAATGCTATGGCATGAGTTTTGTTAGATGAGGTGATGCTGTCTTTAAACGACTGTAATAATCTCATCAGCTTTACATGAGCTCCCTCTACTGCTCCCAGTGTGCCACTGCTTTCCGCTGCACCCTACAACCATTTGACCCAAGCTGCTGGTTTGAGCTGAGCTGTACTTTGCTCAACAGTTGCAGCTGCTGGCAAATGAACTGGAAGTGCCCCCGAAGTACATTTCCCTCTGAGCTCTTGGACATGAGGAGACCTTCAGGTCATCACTCTCAGTTGTCTTCCGACCACAGACAGATTTACTGATCCATGCATTTCCCAGCCCTTCCCCAAACACATTGGAAGGTGCTGTGTGTGAGGAAGGGTTTGAAAAACCTGTTTACTCTCCTTCATTAAACTCACTATAGATCAGATAAGGACTAGTGTGGAATCTGTTTCAGCAGCTGAATTCTGAACATTTTACAGATCCTTCATCCTTCATTCATACAGATCCTAACCCAGACGTTAGCCTACAAATACAGACACCGCATTGATAGGATCACTCCGCATAGTGCTTTGAGATGTTTCTGTGTGATAAGATGCTTTTAAAACGTCATGGAAAACACAGACACTACACTTTACAGTAAATCCTGAGAAGCTGCTTTGAGATGTCTCAAATATGGAATATAATAATAATCCTTGCATTTGATATAGCGCTTTTCACGTCGGGAGGACGTCCCAAAGCGCTTCACAGAACACACTGTAAAGTGAATTGACTGTATATTTGTGGGCGAACGCGGCAGCCAATTGCGCACAGCAATGTCCCACAAACAGTCGTAGATTGAAAATGACCAATTTATTATTGTTTGTGGTTTTGGAGGGATTATTATTAGGCTCTGTGTGGAGTAAGGAAACTTGCCCAAGGTTTCGCCCTGCCTGGAATTGAACTCAGGTCTCTCGCTTGCAAAGCGAGTGCTCTAACCACTGAGCTACAGGACTCCACTATAAGAATTATTATGAGAGTTTTTAAAGTTGTATTGCCAGGTCTTACTCAGGTGGGAGGGGGTTTCACAGCCAAACCCAATGCCTGAACTATTTTTACCTCCATTATTGGAACGCATTGCCTGAAAGGGTGGTCGAGGCCAATTCAATAACAACTTTTAAAAACGTGGTGGATGGGCATTTGAGGAGGATGGGTTTGCAGGGTTATTGGGAAAGGGCTGGGGAGTGGGATTGATATTAGATTGTTCTTTTCAAAGAGCAGGCACAGACTCAATGGGCTGAATGGCCTCTTTTGTGCTGTATGATTCTGATTCTATGACTGGGGTAAGGTATTGTGGAGGTGACAAATAGCTCTCTCCCCCGTACGGCTTCTTGTCAGAAATGCTGATTCAGCACAGACTGATTCAGGTGGGGGAGGTAGTGCAAACTTCTTACTCTGTGAGGCTGGGGCACTCTGTTTAAGTTTCTACACATAATAAAAATTGTTGCATTTGATATAGTGCCTTATCACATTGTTGTGATGTCTTAAAGCGCTTCATAGTGCAGTGACTTCACTGTGTATTGACGTGTAAAAAGCTTTTTTGAAATAAGACACAATGATGTACAGCAAAGGGAGGGGGAGGGTGAAATGCACCATCACACAACATTACACAGCAGGTATTCTCAATCTCGGACCTTGTCGGTGGCTCAGTGGATAAATGCACCAAAGTAGCCCTCACCACGGCTGGATCCTGGTCCGTGCTGAGATAGTTGAATGCAGTGTGGGTGGGGGTAAGGGTTGCCTCAATTGCCTTTAGAACTCCTGAGGTGAGGAAGGCAGGAAGAAAAACAACCAGAATTCCTGCAAGTGAGCCATCCCTTGAAAATGAGTGGCTGGGGATGGTGTACAAGGACAAGACTGGCCTTCTTCAAACTGCCATCTTCAATAGTCTGTTTCCCAATACTCAGGGCCCGGAATCACACAAGGAGAACAGTTTCTTCGAGAGAGGGCTACCGGTGATGGCCCTACAAGAGTCAGAAACGATTCAGGACAAAAGGAAACTTGTGGTTGGGGAAAAGGAATGGCCGTTTTCAAATACAGCATTCTCTTTGACCGTACCTTCAGCTCCCCTCTCGACTCTCTACCCCCTCCTCGCTCCCTCCCTTCCCTTCCCTCCCCTCACCATTTCCCTCTGCTCGGTCCTGACCCAACTATACAGCGCCTTGGGACGTCCTCCCGACGTGAAAGGCGCTCTATAAATGGAATCTTGTTGTTGTTAGATTATTACGACCAACAGTTAAACAAGCATTTAAAGCCCATCAAACAAACGGACACTCAGCCATCACTGGAGCAGTAACTGGTTTATTTTCCCATAACCCATGCTGTTAAAGTCGTTCAGCACCACCCACAGAGTAAATCAGGAATGCGTGACCCACGCTCAGCATCAAAGGATCACCGAGTGGCGCTGTGTTTGACAGACTGAGCTCTGAGTGTCACAGAAGAGCAACATACCAGTACAGACACATTTCAGTAAATTTTCCCATCTCGTCACTCACACCTTCCCTTCCCACCTCTCTCAAGTTCTTGGTAATCCGGTTCCTGAGCCAGGCGGGTCTGCAGTATTCCAGAGCACTGCTGATAACAGCACAGCCCAACCTGGCTAAATCGAGGACTTGAAGGGGCAGAACAGTCATGGGGGCAGGGAATCTTCCCACTCAACTCCTGTTAACCCTGCAAGCCAAAGTCCTAACAGGTAGGGTGGTCCTAGCTGGACAAACAGCGAAAAAGCTTGCCAGACAGTGTTCTCATTGGCAAGCTAGGCGGTTTTAGCTGGTTAGACTGTAAGCAGTTACTCCCAATACACACTCTGGGACCCCTAAGCCTGGGCTCTTGCCAAAATGTGCCTAACACTCCCAAAAATTAGGTAAGCAAAATGCATTGGGGAAGCAGGTGCAATGGTTTTAAAGCACACCATTTATAACTAGGGCTCCCTCGATGGTTCAGTGGGTACATTCACTGGATGGTGTGGTACTGAACAGTATAAAGCAGGAAGGTCCCAGGTTTCATTCCCGATGAGCAACAGCACTGCCAAAATGGTGAGTGCTTTAACAACAGAAGTTTTTCCAAAATAACAAAGAATGAAAAATAACACCCACAAATATACAGTCTATTCGCTTTAGCATATTCTGTGAAGTGCTTTGAGGCATCTCTAAGACATGATAAGGCCCTATATTATTATTACATTAAATACAGGGTTTATTTTTATTTTTTATTAATAAGCAGATTGACTTACCCACGCCCAAAACATGGCTGAACTTTGAAAGAGAAAGAGGTTCAACACTCCATAAATAGCCTGCAAATAACAGAAACTTGTCGTTAGGCACTCAGTGATAGGCAGCCCACTGTGTTATGCAGCTACAGGTGACACCAACACAGCATTGCTCTCTACACCAATGCCATACGTTGAAGGCGATGTTGACTCAAAACGCTGCAAGCAGAGCAAGGTATAGCATAGGGCAGAGTTCAACTGGTAGTGGAAAAGATTCAGAAAGTTCTGGACCAAGCTGGGCTGATCTGTTGGTCCCTGAACTACTCTGGGCTATACAGTCTCTTCCCCATGATCACCACGGAGCTGTCTTAAGTGAGGACTGACCTGAATTGATGGAATGTTAACTGGAGGCACAGAACTACACAGTTACAAGGCATTTCTTTTCAGATGGTCTTGGGGCTTCTTTGTGCAGGAAATATTTACACTCCCCAGACTTTGACGCCATCCCCACTCCACTCCTTATCTCTCAGCTCCACCTCTTTGCCCCACTTATCACAGACATCATCAACCTGTCCCTCTCCTCTGGCTCTGTTCCCATTCCCCTCAAAACTGCCATCATCACTCCCACTTTGAAAAAACCCTCCCTTGATGCGTCGCAGCTATCAAGCTACCGGCCCATCTCCAACCTCCCCTTCCTGTCCAAGGTCCTTGAAAGAGTTGTCGCCTCCCAGCTGCGCTCTTTCCTCTCCACCCATTCATTATTCGAACCCCTTCAGTCGGGTTTCCGTGCTGCCCATAGCACAGAAACTGCCCTGGTCAAGGTCACCAATGACATCTGACCATCTGTGACCAGGGCTCCCTCTGCCTCCTCGTCCTCCTCGACCTATCGCAGCATTCGATACGGTCGACCACGCTATCCTCCTCCACCGCTTGTCCTCCCACCTCAACCTTCAAGGCCCTGTCCTTGAGTGGTTTAGGTCGTACCTCTCCCACCGTCTTCATTTTGTTTCCACAACGGCTTTTCCTCCACCCCCGCACTGTCTCGTGCGGTGTCCCTCAGGGCTCTGTCCTCGGTCCCCTCCTCTTCACCCTCTATATGCTCCCCCTGTGGTGACATCATCCGCAGACATGGGGTTAACTTCCACATGTATGCGGATGACACCCAACTCTACCTTTCCTCCTCTACCCTCAACTCCACGACCACCGATGTCCTGACAGCTGCCTGTCCGACATCGAGTCCTGGACGAGAGACAACTTTCTTCAGCTCAACGTGCGCAAAACTGAGGCCCTCCTGATTGGCTCACGTCAGCGCCTCCGCACCTCAGGCGCTGACAGCATCAGCATCCAAGGCTGCACTCTCCACCTCTCAAAGCCAGTCAGGAACCTCGGGTTCTGTTCGACCCTGAGCTGTCCTTTCTCCTCATATCGCGCCACAACTGGCACCGCCTTCCATCACCTCCGGAACATCGCCAGACTACGGCACTACCTCACCCCTCACGCTGCTGAAACTCTGGTCCACGCCTTTATCACCTCAAGGCTGGACTATGGGAACTCTCTCCTCGCCGGCCTTCCCGACCTCCCTCCACAAGCTGCAGGTCATTCAGAACTCTGCAGCTCGTGTACTGTCCCGCACCAGGCTTCGCGACCACATCACTCCCACCCTCGCTCGCCTCCACTGGCTCCCCATCCCCCAGAGGATCGAATTCAAGATCCTCATCCTCACCTACAAGGCCATTCACGGCCTTGCTCCCTCCTACCTCTCCGACCTACTATCCCCCTACCTACCTGCCCGTACCCTCCGTTCCTCTGGCTCCGGTCTGCTCCACATCCCCCGCCCCAACCGCCCTACCATCGGTGGCCGGGCCTTCAGCCTCTCAGCCCCGAGGCTCTGGAACTCCATCCCCCAGTGCCTTCGCCGCTTCCTCCCTTTCCTCCTTCAAGGCCGGTCTCAAGACCTTTCTCTTTGACCGTGCCTTCAGCTCCCCTCTCGACTCTCTACCCCTCCTCGCTCCCTCCCTTCCCTCCCCTCACCCTGACCATTTCCCCCCAATGCTCAGGTCCTGACCCAACTGTCCAGCGCCTTGGGACGTCCTCCCAACGTGAAAGGCGCTCTATAAATGGAATCTTGTTGTTGCTGTTTGCTTCCTCACAGGGCTAAAATACCGAATATGATGAAACGTTCCCGAACACTTCCCCCCTCACACAGGCAGCCAAAGCAACATCTGCTGGCTGAGGTAGGAGTTGGACCCTATGTTCATTGTGTCAGCCATTCCCACCTACAGCTGTTCTGGAGGATTCGACAAATTCAAATTTGCCAAGTCTGTGACTCTGTATCATGTTATAACCCTGGTCAGTGCCACCATATGGTATTTCCCTACAAAAAAATCCCATTCCTTGGTGGAGTTATTCATTTTAGATTCTGGTTGCCTTGTGATTCACGTGGATGTAAAGGACTATTATTGCAAAGACAAGTGGAGTCATTATATGCTTTTTTACCCATCCTCTGTTAAATTTACTTTAAATTCTAATTATTTAGCTGTTCACCTTATTGTTTATGGGATGCCACTGGCGCAGATTAGGAGTTACACTTGCTTAAATTGCGCTTGTTAAATTAATTCTGTTTTGCAAAGTGCTTGAAGAAGTTTATTGTTTTACCTGAGAAGTGCCATATAAATACAAGTGATTCATTTTATTATCAAACATGTCTCAAAAGACAAAATAGCCCAGAAAAGAGAAGATGCTGCTTTTTATGGAACTTGTTCAGAAACTGTCAG